ATAATGAGATTGAGATAATGCTAGTCCCTGGGGAGTTTTGATAATCCTGACCCCTAAGATCAAATCGGCAACTCCTAAGTCTTTCATATCGAACTTGCTGGACAACATGCGCTTAGTAGCATTTATATCATCAATTTTTTTACTCATTATTAACATGTCATCAACATACAAACAAACAATGACTTCATGATTCATAACGTTTTTAATGTAAAAACATTTATCACATTCGTTAATCTTGAATCCATTTGCCAACATTATTTGATCAAATTTAGCATGCCATTGTTTGGGTGCTTGCTTGAGTCCATAAAGTGACTTCACAAGTCTGCACACTTTCTTTTCTTTACTAGGAACTATAAACCCTTCAGGTTGTTCCATGTAAATTTCTTCCTCTAACTCTCCATTTAAGAAGGTTGTCTTTACATCCATTTGGTGGATTTTAAGATCATGCACTGCTGCTAGTGCTATTAACATCCTAATTGATGTTATCCTTGTTACTGGAGAGTATGTGTCAAAGTAGTCCAGACCTTCCTTTTGTCTGTACCCTTTGACTACAAGTCTAGCCTTATATTTGTCAATAGTCCCATCAAGTTTCATTTTCCAGTAAGATCAGTCAATTCCCAAGTGTGATTGCTTAAAATTGATTCAATCTCACTATTGACTGCTTCTTTCCAATAAGTTGACTCTGACGAAGACATAGTTGCTTTAAATTTTTGAGGCTCATTTTCAAGCAATAGTGCTACAAAATCTGGTCCGAAAGAAACAGATTTTCGTTGTCAAGTACTTCGCCTAGGTTCCTCACTAGTTAGAATATTTTCCATTGATTCTTCTCGTGGTCGTTTAGGTCTTTCACTTGTTGAGTCACTTTTAATTTTATAGGATAAATGTTTTCAAAAAACGCTGCATTATCTGATTCAATTATCGTATTAACATGAATCTCAGGATTATCAGATTTGTGAACCAAAAATCGACAGGCTTCACTATTCACAGCATACCCAATAAAGACACAATCTATTGTTTTGGGTCCAATTTTAACCCTCTTAGGTAAAGGAACCTCTATCTTGGCTAAACACCCCCACACTTTGAAATATTTCAAGTTGGGTTTTCTTCCTTTCCACAACTCATATGAAATTGATTGTGTTTTTCGATGGGGTACTCTATTGAGTATTTTATTAGTTGTAAGGATGGATTCCCCCCAAATATTTCGCGGTGAACCAGAATTGATCATTAAGGCATTCATCATTTCCTTTAATGTTCTGTTCTTCCATTCTGCCAAACCATTTGACTGTGGTGTATAAGGTGCAGTAGTTTGATGAATAATACCATATTTCAAACATATCTCTGCAAAAGGAGATTCATATTCTCCACCCCTATCACTCCGGATCATTTTTATCTTTAGATTAAATTGGTTTTCCACTTCATTTTTGTATTGCTTAAATGCATCAATTGCTTCATCCTTACTATTAAGCAAATATACATAACAAAATCGAGTGGAGTCATCAATAAAAGTTATAAAATACTTTTTTCCACCACGAGATGGTATTGACTTCATATCACATATATCTGTGTGAATTAAGTCTAAAGTTTTAGAATTTCTTTCAACAGACTTGTAAGGATGTTTAACAAACTTACTTTCCATACAAATTTCACATTTCGACTTATCGCATTTAAAATCAGGCAATACTTCTAGATTAACCAATTTTTGCAAGGCTTTGTAATTTACATGTCCCAAACAGGCATGCCATAAATCACTTAACTCCAATAAGTAAACAGAAGTAGAATTTTTATTAATACTGTCAATAACCATTACATTTAGTTTGAAAAGACCCTCATTGAGGTAGCCCTTTCCTATGAACATTTCATTCTTACTTATTACAGCTTTATCACTAACTAGGACACACTTAAATCCGTTCTTAACGAGTAGTGCAGCAGAAACTAAATTTTGCCTAATAGTAGGGATGCAGAACATTGTTTAAAGTCAACACTTTGCCGGATGTCATTTTCAACATTACTTTCCCAGTTCCTGCAATCCTTGTTGTTGCTGTGTTTCCCATGAATAAATCTTCATCATACTCAGCAGGAGTGTACGTTGCAAAGGCTTCTTTTGCAGAGCAAATATGTCTAGTAGCACCTGAGTCGAGAAACCACTCCTTGGGATTTCCAACTAAGTTACACTCTGATATTATTGCACACAAGTCATCTGCATCTTCCATCTTTTCCACGATGTTTGCTTGACTTTTGTCTTTGCCTTTGTTTTTGTCCTTTCTTGGAGCATGACAATCAGAAGATCTATGACCAGCCTTGTCACGATTATAACAGTTGCCTTTGAATTTCTTCTTGGTCTGTTCTGACTTCTGCCCGTTGGACTTCTCTCTCTTTTTGTATTTGGTAGGAGCTTCTTCAACAATATTAACTCCAATGATTGTTGAACTCTTACGCGACTTCTTTTCGGCATTTCTGTTATCTTCCTCAATCTTGAGACGAATCATAAGATTCAAGCTTCATTTCTTTACGCTTGTGCTTTAAATAATTCTTGAAATCATTCTACGAAGGAGGCAACTTCTCGATCATTGCAGCCACTTGAAAAGCTTCATTTACTACCATATCTTCAGCAATCAGATCATGGAGAATAAGTTGAAGTTCCTGCACTTGTGATCCAACAGTTTTACTATCTACCATTTTATAGTCTAAAAACTTTGCGACCACAAATTTTTTCAAGCATGCATCTTCTGTCTTATATTTCTTCTCAAGTGCATTCCATAACTCTTTTGAAGTTGTTATTGCACTATAGACATTATATAAGTCATCCTCTAAAGCACTCAAAATATAACCTTTACATAGGAAGTCTGACTGTTTCCATGCTTCAACAATCATAAATTTTTCCCTGTCTGGCATATCATCAGCAGGTACTGGAGTATCTTCACTTGTAAATTTCTGCAGACCAAGAGTGGTAAGCCAGAAAAATACTCGTTACTGCCATCCTTTGAAATTCACACCTGTGAATTTACCCGGTTTCTCTGCTTGTGATACAAAAGTTCAGGTTGGTGCAGCAACAACCACTGTAACACCAGTGTTTTCCATTTCTGATAAACAAAATTGATACAATATAAGTAAGCAATAAATTATAATTGCAGACTTAAAGGAGTATAAAATCACAAAGATTTTTGTCTCCACCAGAAACACAGATTTATAAAATTTCCTTAAGATTATTGCCAATCTGTTTTAAGAAAATCAAAAATTACTGGTTGTAATAAATCATTCAGAAACACGAAGTAACTGAGATTTTTAGAACCAGTAAATAAGATGAACAGAACTTTATTTGTAAAATAACTTAATCTGTAAAACTTACCAGAATCTGGAATACTCTTTTTGATAATTTAGGAAGAAAATCAAGTCCACTGAATTCACAGTGTCCCCTTAAGGAAATTATTCCCCTCTAGTATCTGAGGTTTGATTTGGAATATAACCTCTCATGGTAAAATGATCTTAATCAGTAGAGTATAGATACCAAAAACTCTACTATCAGCGAATCAATCCACGACAGGAAAGTACATGAAGAAATATGTGTTTTTAAGAAGAAGGAAGATCAGAAAATTCGTTAGAAAATATTCTGAAGACTGAATGGTATTTATAGGCAAGAATAATATATTCGTGAAAGGTTGCAACCCTTTCAGAATTGACACGACCATTAATGAAAGGTTGCAAACTTTCAAATGGTATTGACTGTTTCTGAAAGTTGCAACCTTTCAGAACAGTGGCGGAAATTTTTAAATATAACGGAATTTAAAATGGGTCACGCGCGCGGATCCTAGTCGAGTCGGGTTAGCTAAAAAGTTGAAAACATTTCGGTTAATTTCTGTTATCAACTAATTAATTGAAAATAATTTTTGGCCATTTTAATTAAATAAATAAATAATTAAAATAAATTTGTCCAAAAAATTATCTCTCGATCATTTGCCAAAGCCGAAGCGAGCGACGATGGCGACGGCGCGAGGGGGGTCCCTCTTTCCAACCCTTTTAACAATTAATAGGAGTGTTTATTTATTTAAACTCTCCTATTTTCATTTACATTACCGATGAGGGACTATTGCCTTTTTTATTAAAACATTAGTTCACAACCTTTCAAGTTCTAAACTTTTCAAATTCCTCTCCTTCCCTCTATTTCCCATCAATTCTTGCTACATACCCAACAGGATGTCATTGAAAATGAGGAATTTGCAAGGTTAGTTCCTGGTTGCAAACATGGATTCCACCTAGAATGTGTCGATCTTTGGTTGTTCAAACAGCCATTTTGTCCTGTTTGTAGGCTCAAGCTTGAGCCTGAATTGTTTAATCAAGATGGAAACAATATATGTTAAATTTTGATAGACAGAGTTATTGCTGGAAAATATAAACAGTTGAGTTGATGCGTTATACCACTCTTATAATATAAAAGAGCTCCCATTTAATTAAAAAAGCTTATCATTTGTTGCAAAATGCCAACTTTCAAAATTTGTGTTTTAATTATTCAATCAAAGTCTAGTAGTCTTTGGCATGGTATTGTTCTTTTTTATTTTGTCAAAAACAACAGAACCAAAACCAAGATGAGAAATGTGACAGCTTAGAGCAAGGGGCTTAAATCAGTACATGTATTTCTTATAATCAATTAGAGGAATAATTTTTAACCAAGCGGCTAATTAATGAGTTTTAGAACATGTATGCAAAGGTGGCTACTGGCTAAGCCTTCAGTGAGAAATATTCATTATTGCATTATCTCAATTAGGATTCGTGAACAGTATAACCAACTACAAATTATATTTATGAGACTATGGTTAATTAAAAAAGAAAAAGGAAAACGTTATCTCAATTCTCTTGGTTGTTTAAGTTAGATCATGGTAGAAGCAATGCATACACTCTCCGTCAAGGGCACATGTTGTTGGCTAAGTCGTCATGTCTTGCAATGTCATTAACAAAGAGTCTTTGAAGTGTTTAGCGATCTACCACACATTCGTGAATTTCAATCATTTGGCATTTACGTTATCATATGCTAAATTGAATTTTGCAGTCAATATGTACAAATCAATTTGAGTGTAACTAACGTAAATCTTAGTTGACTATTCGAAAGTTGAATTTCCCAGTCAAAATATTAAATCTAAATCTGCAAATGCTACCATTCCCTCTTAGTTGACCATCCTGAATTTGACTTAGGAAGTCAAATTATTATGTTTGGTCTAGTCAAATTACCAAAGAGCCTCTAGTGTCTGGACTGAATAACAGACTCGTGCAAATTAACAATATTTTCTTTTACCAATACCAATAAGAAAAAACAGTCACTTGTTTTCAAGAAGACATTTCCCTTCACTACACACCCTTTTTTGAACCTTTTATCTTCAAGAAGTAAGAATATCCAACTTAGGTAAGAAGCACACTCTTGAGCATACTGTAATTCTTTCACATCAGGAACTACAATATTGAGCTAGTTAGAAGGAATAAAGACGACTAGGAAAGCGATGTATAGTAAATTCTATGTAGGTAGGGGATTGTAGAATATACCCAATGTGGTCCAACCCCTCTCCATACCTCACACATGGCGAGAACTTGTGCACGCCTTGAGTACGTATTCTTCCCCCTTGGTAATCAAAGATCATCATAATTTCTATACAGAAGTATGTAAGTTGATGTCACCATTTGGGGGTGTATATTTATGCAGCTGATACAGATTTTAATTTCTGCCGAGGAGGAACATTAAGGTACGCCTTCATTGTGTCATATGCTGTGAAACCAATTGCCACTGAGGGGACGATCTGCCAACAAAACCGAAAGCAGTTCTGATGAGTTACTCAATAAATCTAACAACATGAAATATCATAATACTAGACAGTAGATATCTAATCCATCTTGGAATGATGATTTGCTCCATTTTCTTTCTCAAATGCTAAGATATGCTTCCTCCTTTGCTACCTATAGATGTGACAAGAACAAATCCAAATTTAAACATGTAGGAATTTGGCTCCTTGTTAGGAAGTGCAGAAGTGTGAGTTCTCCCGGAAACATACTTGAGGCAGAAAAAAGTCACTGCTGAACATACTTCTTGTGGTGCAAAAGGAGATTGACTCTCAATAATTCAGTGGTCATGAAAATATCCTTCTCTATTTTCACCCCATTTCAGCTTAATGTTTCCACTCACCAGGTTAAGGAAATAATTCATAACACGAGATTGGGAAAGGGAAGGTGATGATAACTGGTTATTCAGGAAAAAATAGGGAGGGACCAAGATAGTTTTTATTTTCTGAAGAGTGACAAACTAACAAGCATAATTGATTATACTACAGGTCATGCAGAAAGGATAATTGCCAAAAAAGATTTGTTAAAAGTGATATTTAACACAATCCAAATGACATATCTTGATGTTTCTATACTCTTTGAGATCAAGTATAAATTACTATTTGACTTGGTTTTTCAAATGTAAGGGATATTCTTTACTGTATAACACTGTATACATGAACAAACTGATAACACTATTAGCTAACAATAATTTGGGGATACTACACATTTGTTCAGAAGTTCATTTAGTATAAGCCCCACTAAAAGTTTCATGAAAGGGAACACCTTTATGCCTTTTTCACAAATAGTAAGGTAATTTGCATTGGGCCCTAATCCAATCAGCAAACATAATAAATCTAAGAACTGTTAGCAAACGTAAGAGCTAAATACATTAATTTATCAAATTTTCCCCAATAGAAATGTCACTTTCATTATTAACTTCAGAGGTAAGGCACAAGTACCCTAAATTATGTCCGAAATCCTAGAGACACGCATAAACTTAACTAGGGTCTTATTACCCCTACACTAATTTAAAATGAAATAATACACCAGAAATGTTGACGTGGCATAGAGAGTGCACTCTCTTGAAGGCAAGTGATGAGGATACAAATTGGACACATGACATTTTTTAATTGGTAACTTTATAATTAGTTAGAACACATATTTATTGATATAGAAACTTATATATATTTAATAATTTTCATTTCTTTTTTTGTAAAATATTTATTTAATTTCTTTCTCACTTTAGACTTCTTTTTTCATTCATATCTTATCTTTTCACTTTTAATTTATTTTAAGAAATTATATGTATTTTTTTTAAAAAAAAAAATAGTAAGTGTCCTTTAATTTTACCGTTTTAACTTTTTTTATGTTTTATTTGATTTTCTTCACTTATTTTGATATTAGTTCAAAATTTACTTATTTTAAATCCAAGATATTTGGAGTTAAATTTGAAATCAAATCAAAAGGAAAGACAGAGAAAATAAAAAAGAGTAAATCAATAGAAAAATAAAAGAGAAAAAATGAATGAAGGTACAAAAAAAAGATTTGATATAAGGTAGAAAAAATATGTGTATTAACTTAATTTAGATACAAGATAAAAATGAAAATATTTTTTTTAAAAAAAAAATTAAATATTTACACACGTGTAGGCGCGTGTTAGGAACACAACCAACTTGAGTGGTTGAATGGCACATCAACACAAAAGATGCACAAAATACGAAAAAAATGAGTTCAGAGAGATAATAGGACCTAGTTAAGTTTATATATGTCTGTGGATACTTGTGCCTTATCCCTTAACTTTATGATCCTTTCAACGAACTTGCAATGACTAAACAACACTATAGGTGGACAAACTTTGTTGTTTTAACCACAGGATTATTTCTTGTGCTTTGCTAGTCATTCACTTTTTTTTCTTTTTGCCATTTCTTCAGTTAATCAACATTCAAGTTCCCAAAATATTATTACCACTTAAGTTTAACCCAACTCCCAAATGAAGTGTGCCAAAATGTGTATTATGGCCAAGATATATAATATTCAAAAGTGGGTCAACTAGAAATTCTTTAAAGAACAAGTTATAAATGTAGTTGTAGCGAAGAAGCTACTATTAAACCGGACTTTTTACCTTCATATAATTAACACTAAGCCCTGCAAACAATTGTCTCCAACCTTGATTACGAACAATTGAAGAAAGCCCATCAAACGTGCTCCTATATCTGGCTCTGTCTTGCAATGAAGGTCGCAGATGCTCTACCTGAATAAGAGATATTTTCATGGTTTATTAAGTCATATGAACAAGTGACATGTTCAAAACGTGTGAAAAACTTAACTTCATTTATCTGTGGCAGTGCTAGTGCGCAATATTTACTTCCTCTGTTCCAAAAAGAGTGACACCTTTGTATATTCGGAAATCATTTAACATAGAACTTCCCAACTTTACCATTAATTAGATGATAATATAGCCACACAAATGTCATGAGTCATGACATACAAGATCACAAGTTCCAAAAGTTCTTCTTTCTTAAACACTGTATCTAATCAAACAGGTTAAAATGAAATGAAGGGAGTAAATTTTAGCAAGGCTTCCACAGAGGGATTAGTACGAACACAAATTAGTCACTCAGACTCTTATGGAGTTCCACAAGCAAATATGATGCACAGAAATACTAATCACTCCATTCAGGATATAGAATGGATTATGGACATGAACTCAAAATACAGGAAATTTTTAGGGCACAGCGTGGTCTGACAGACCAGAATTAATCTGCGCCAACTCTGGTCTAACACATGCACTAATTTCAATCAACACAAAGTGCATAGGAGTTATGTTGAGTTATGCTATGTCTGACGATGATACCTGCATCTGCCTCCTAACCACGTCCAATGGGTATGTAAATGTCTGACCCAATAAACCAGCTATAGCTCCACACGAGAGACGCATCATAATGGAGGATTGGTGCTCTTCAGGAACATGCCTCTTTAACTCCTCATAAACATAAAACTTCAATCCAGCATAAGGAAGAATACCAATAAGGGTGGGCCCTGCTCCGAATATAAATCGAGTCATTTGTGAATCATCAATATTCAAAAAAGAATTAAAACCATAAACCATTTATGCAAAGACCTAGGCAATGCAAGTACAACCATGGACACATCAACACACACAAAATAATAAAAGTTCGGGATGTGCGGCAGATTTTAGAAATGAGAGACATTAATCAAACCATTGACAAAAAGAACAATTGAACTTTTACTTTTATTAAGGTTGTCTTTTTAATTTTGGTATTCTTAGATTCTGTCATTTTACTAACTTAAATTTTATTTCCTCGTTTTTTATTTTCGTTTTTGAATTTCATAGTAATTTTAAGGTACCTAACACTTTCTTTTATTGTTATAAATCCCCAATTAATCAAAATATAATCTTTTCTGCTTTTGAGTCCATCTGTTTCGAGCTTTAAAAAAATCAGCTTTACCCAATCAAACAAAAATATGGCATAGGAGTATTAAACTAGTAACATGAAAAACACAGTCCATCAGTTTCAGTGACTTTCTAACGTTGCAGTAAGATAAAGATACAAAGTACTTGAAACAGTGAAACAACATAAAACCCAAAATTAGTTGTCTAAATTTAGTATAAAAGTATCCTCATCCTTTTTGATTGAGGATATAACTTTAAGGGATTTTGACATTATGATATTTCGAATTTTCGTTTATAGCAAAAACAATTTAAACATTCTGTTAATTTTTGCATTACGGAAGAAAAGAACGACATTTAAAAAATGGAAATTAGGAGGTAGAGTCTGGTTGGTCTTTTCTGGAACTACAGAAGAATCAAGTATGTTTCATGAGTTGATGCCATCAATGCAACAATTTACTTCACATAGAAAAAAGGTTTGATAAAATGCCGAAAATAAAATATCAAAGAAAAGAAAAATGACTGGTGCTAGTATCGAACTCAAGTACAACTTGAATCAGCAATCCAAAATCTGCCATGATAATCACTTTTAATACATCTATAACAAAGCACAACATGCTTCATAAAGTTAGGTCCTTCGTGTTTTTAAGGATTTATGACCCAATTAGTTGCAGATGAGTCAATTCGGCAGTAAAAGTTAAGGATTTATGACCCAATTAGTTGCAGGTGAGTTAATTAGCCAGTAAAAGCTCATTATTCAGTATGAACCAATCAATACTTACCTACACCTCGATAAAGTGCACGGAGTCCTCCTTCCTTGTAGACAGCCTCTAGGACATTTTTAGTACCACTATATTGAGGACCAATATGAGTTGCTCTACTGCCATTTCCTCTTGTCTCCTTGACCTAAAGAAAGATAAGGGGAGAAAACAAATATGAATGATAGCCATCCAAACAGTTTAATGCCGTGAAAAAAGATAAGAGTATGCCAACAGTTAAGGGTAAAACTTATAATTGTTTGATCTAGTGAACCTACATGAGACTGAGAGTAAGAGAAAATAGAACCATTTACAAGGATCCTTAGTGCAAAGTAATATGTTTGGAGGATCTCTGGCATATACAAGAATCAAGATTTAAATAGAACGGCCAAGTTGGAGCAAACAAGCAGTGTAGATTCTTTTAATCTAATTCTTGAATCAGTCAAAATGATGATTTCTCAATAAGCTTTATCTAAAAGACAAGCTCAAGATAAAACTGATACCAGCATGCAACTTTTATTAGTTGATGCAGCAGGATGGAGTTCCACAATGGATCTAATTTGTCAAATTAACCAGGAAAGAAATCCACAGTTGTGAAGTCATTGGAGAGACGGAGAATGAGAAGGGACAGATCATTCCTCCATCATATATGAGTTTACAATTTACATGAGTGTTTAACAAAGTAGGGCAGCTTACCTATGATAGTTTACACATCTTAATGAAATAATAAGGTATATTTCCATTTAGATGAGTCAAAGATCAGATACAACTATCCGTCCTACTAAAGCACGGCAATTGGTGAGTGCTGCTAATCAGATTAATTTCCAACTCTGGCAGGGCGTGTTGATGGAAAAATTCAATAATTATTGCAAAATAGTAAAACTGCTAAAATGCAATCAGACATGTAAAGAGCAAAGAAAAAAAACTAAATGTATTTTAACAAATTAAGCACCTGATAAGCCAGTTTGGTCCGAGCCAAATCAAGGGGATATGTACACAAAACTGCAGTTCCTCCAGAAGCTGAGCCAGCCAAAAGATCTACAACAGGTCCTGTTCCTAATGCAGAGTAATTTTCTAATATCCATCCTCGATACCGCTCATAGGTCATGTAATGTAGTGCAGCATATGGGACAATTCTGAGAACACTTGCTCCATTTCCTCTGCAACACGTCGTGTCATTAATAACCAATACTTCCACAACAAACTCAAGCTTTTAACAGTACAATCTAAACTTACTTGTAAAATCCAATAACACCTTCATTCTTCAGAAGCTTCTTTAGAGATTGATGAACTCCAAGGGAATGATATCCTTCAGTTCTTGTCTACAAGAATTAAGGAGAAGAGCAAGCAGGAGGAATTTAGGAATGTCATAATGAGCTAAAACTGAAGTAGCCATGTGAAGAATGTAAAAGAAAAAAATATACAATGAGCATCTGGCAGATGCATTCAAGTGAAAACACAAGAACCCAACTGAGGATAGAGAACAACCGGATAAGGTGACGGGTGATACATAAATTTCAATCAATTTCAGAAAACAAACAAAAACTAATGACTTAGAGACACTAAAAACAAAAATTTTCCTCAGTCATGTAACTAGAATGGGTGCAACTGCTTCCCATTTATCCAATCAGAAGAAATACTCCAACCAGACTAATTTCTCTCAGTTTAGAGAAGATCAAAAGAACATAATAGTAAATATATATAGAAATACATCATCCTATTTGGGACCGACAATAAAGGAAAGTGAGACATATAAACTGAAACAAAAGAAGTATATAACTAAACAAAAACCATTCGGTTTGTCTAGAACAGTACAAATTGGCATAAACAAGTGATCACTTTAAAACACGGGGAGCTAGATAAAACAGTATCTCTTTCCTTTTTCACCTGCAAAAGTATTTTGACACGCTCTAATGGGGCAACTGCAGTTTTGGCAAATGCACCAGCAGCTCCTCCAGCAATCAGCTCCTTCACATATATTGGCAAACCATCAAAAACAGAAGCCTCTCGATGAGAGGCAGAAGACCCATCAACTAACCCTACCACATTTGTGGACAAAGTAGTCCCTTGTGTAGAAGAACTCATCTTCAAAGTTACTACTGTCAATTACCAAAATACAATGCAAATCGAACAACTTTCTATCCACCTTGTAGATTGTAAAACTCCTTGTCCCACCTATCTCTTGGGATACAAAAGGGTAAAACTTTTTGCTCAACCAATGGCCTGAGAACAACCGGAATTGAACACCGTATGTTCACAAGCCTACCTTGTTTTTCACCAATTATTACAATTCTCATCAAACAGATGCAAAGAAAGTTTGAACAAAACAACTACCTCTTTCAAGATCCAAACTGAAATGCTACTTCTTTCAATATCAAAATTGAATCTTGCCCATATAACCAAATCTCCACAATCTAAAGAATACCCAGAAACAATAAAAAAAAAAAAATCTAAAGGGGCAATCGATAAAATCAATACTCCTTTAGATGTAAGCCAAATAACACCACATAAATGTAAGAAAACAAATTGGGTTTGTCCAGAATCTGTTATTTTTTGAGATTCTTGAAGGTAACGTTTTCAATTGATTCGTCCCCAGATTCGTTTCCTTCCTGGTTCCAAGAAGGCAGATGAATTAGGAATTTGGGGACTGGTCAAATTCGGTATCCCTCAGCTCATACAATTCTTATTTATATATATAAAAAAAAATGTCTGACTTCCGTCCACGACTTTAAACAAGACAAGAGGTGGCGGTATAGTCGCACATATTATTTTTCAAAAATAAACTAATTTTATTTTATTTAAAAATAAAAAATAAAAATGAGTATAACTAGAAGTTGATCATCAAGAATTAACTTCTATTTTAGCTCATGATAAAAGATTTATTAAATGATATTTAAGGATGGGATTGCAATTAGGATGATTTCATAAAACTAGCGTTAATTGTTTGATTTTTCCTTCGAGCGCACATGGCCTCGGATTGGGGTTATTTCTCTAAGGTGTTGCTTTTGTTATCTTTTATATTATTGTATAAATCGAATCACGCGTCTTGTCAAACTTAATCCTAATTAATTCTCATTACTCTTCATGTGTCATTGTTAGATATAGTCACATGCCTTTGAAATTATTTTTGTCATATATAGATTCTTTAGATTATATCAATCTTTTATCGGTGAATATAATTAATTTTTTTTTCTTTCTCAAGAAATTGAGATCTCCATTTTTTTTTCTCCGAATCAAATTTCCCATCAAAAGAAAACGAAGTGTCTCTTCTAATTAATACTAGAAAAATATGGCCCGTGTCACGGGTCCAACGTGAACATTGTTTGAGATAATGAATTGATATGATTTACAATAATAATTGAAAAACATAGTATTAATTATTTGATGATAAATATATTTTTAAATTGAAGATTCTTAACCATAAAATTAAGACCTACTACATAAAAAAGATGTGATTAAAGTAAATTACAATCACTTAAAATGATTAATAATCAAAATAAATTGAATTACGGCCATTTTTATTCCCATATTTACAACAAAAAAACATAGGCACACGTCCTTTTGTGGTTATTGTACAAATTTATAAATGATCCAACATACATATATATATATGTAAGGAAGGAAAAAAAAAAGAGTGATCAAATATCCTCTAATTGACTTGTTAGTGTCCACTTCAAAGTCAATGAATTTTATTTAGTTATTGGTTTTAATTACGAATAATTGAAGTTAGAAGAGGTTATTATATTCAACAATATAAATGGATCACTAACATAAATTAATATTCGCTTTGTCCTAGATTTATTTTCCTTATTTTAAAAATGGCATATTTTTATATTTCGTAACAATTTATTTATAATATATTTATTTTATTATTAATGAAATAATTTTTAGCCACAAAATCTATTATAACTATAAGTTTTAAAATTTTATTTTTCCTAAACTCCGTGACTAACTCATATAAATTGAAATGAAAAAAATATTAAATTCTATACATGGAATACAATGAATAACATACTTTGATACCTCCAAAACCTCTTTCGTACTTAATTTACTTCATCAAAAAAATTACTTGTCTAATTTTGACGAAAAAATAATTTAAATCCACCTGAGCAAAGAACCGACCTTGATGAGCATTTCTTTACTTGAATTTTTTTCTCTCTCACACAATAAAATATCAAGGCAAACTTCATTTGCGAATTCAACTCTTTCGTTAAAATTTTTGGTTCGAACAACATCCCACTTCCTATAGTCAAGAGCAAAACGTACAAATATAGTAAATTGATCTAATCACCAAGAATGAGTTTAATTAAATTGGGTCTTCTCTCTTCTATAAAATTTATGGAGAATGAAGAGAAATCTCAAATAAAATTTAAACATCTAACGAGATAACTAAAAAAGATAATAAAAAAGCTGACTTAATAATAAAACATAACAATTTATATGATACACCTTATGCTTGCTCTTCTTTTCCTAAATAGTAAACAAGAGATATAAACCACCAAGAAAAGAGAGACATACTAAGTTAAAAGTCAAAGTATTGCCATGTGTCTACTCCAAAGTAGATACAACACAAAAAATTTTATAATAAATTAGCGATAGATATGATGTGGCAGACACAAATTGTATGAGGTTCTCTTAGAATTTGCAAAATGAATATTGGATCCCATTTTCAAAAAATTGAGCTAAATCCTTCTCTCTCTCTTCTTTTTAACTTTTTTTCTTTGATTGAGATCTTCAATTTGTCAACCATTTCTTCTTCTTCTTCTTTTTTAAATAGTATTATTTATAAAAAATGTGAACTTTAATCTAATTCGTCGGTACTTTGAACATTTGATATTATTTTTCTTTCATGTATTGATGATTTACATTTCTAGAAATAAATTATTAAAAGTTATCCGTCAATTGACAAACTAAATTATATTTTTATTTTTATTTTTATTTTTATTAATTATTCTAAAAATATAAACAAAATTTGTAAAATTGCAAAAATAATTCTTAAAAGGAGTAAGTTAATAAAGTATCCTTTTTATTTATAATTTCAAAAGAAAAAATAAATAACTAATATGAAAAACGAAAGGAGTATAAATTAATTATTACCTTTTTTCTCTTTCAATAACTTCATATATACTTAAATTCATCAAATATTCACAAGAAAATATAATGGAATGATCATAAATAATTTTGACAAATAATTACATAAGTTTTTGTACTATCTTAATGTAATTCAAAATAAAAATTCTCGAAAACATTTAGATATATACATACTCTTCCGTCAATTAATGTAATCCAAAATAAAAATTTCTCATAAACATTTAAATATACACATACTCTTCCGTCAATTTATATGATATCTTTTTATTCTTGAAATCAAGCATTATGAAATTTAATTGATATTTTAAAGTATATTTTTATTTTTTATATGTAATAACCCTTGTGATCATTTTGACTACTAGAGATTTTTATTACATAAAAGACTCTTTCAATAGATTTTAACTGAGAATTTTGGAATATTCTTAACTACAATTATAAAATTAATGGGGTACTTTTAATAACTTATTTAGTTGGTGGTTAAAGTTCATACTTTTATAGTTGGTCATATATAATAATTATGGAGTAAATATTCTATAGAAAGAAATTATAAGGTTTAGTAGTTATTTAAGTAATAGCTAGTTGATAATTATTAACCCTAAATAATTAAACGACGAAGCAATAGAGCGCATGCTTACCTGTAACACGAGACGACGGTACCCTCAGGTAAATCTTCAACAACCATCAATATTGTTCTTTGCATATTAATAATTGGGCAGAATATTTTGTATAATTACCTGATATGACTTTGTGCCTTTTTAGGGTTGGATGAATAACAAAATTAATATTATATCGTGATATTGAATATATAATTTATGGCCATGATGATTAGTCAAAATTAATTTATAATATTTGTTTATTGGGTTTAATGAATAAGTTGCATACATTATTATATAATATACGGAAAAGAATCTAAAATACTCTTGAAGTATCAAAAATGGTACAAAATTACCCTCTATCCACCTATTGGCTCCAAAATATCCTTTTCATCCACCTATTGGCTTCACAATACCCTTCTCATCCACCTTTGGGTTCAAAATTAACCATTTATTTAACAATTATATATTTAAACTATTTAAATAATTTTTCTAATACATGACGCTCAACTATTGTTATAATTTAATTTATTAATATAATTTATGAATCAATCTACCACCCATTACTAATTAAATCACACCCAATTAATAAACCCACCCCATTACTAATGCAACAACAGAAAACTATTGCGTGTTTCTAAAACTTTGAGGCGAAAATATCTATAATAGTACATTATCATACATTCAAGTCCTCAATCAAAACATATTATAATTCAAGTGTCTAAAATAAAATTACTGATAAACTTAAAAGTTTGACTATGTTCATCTTAGTTATTTATTCCTCTCAATTATGTGATTTACTTAATGGATAACTTTTTTAAAAAAAAAAGAATATATTAAAGTATTTAAAACAAATAATAAATTTTTATAAAATTATATTTAAAAAGTGCATTAATTAATTCGGGATGTACTACTTCTTTACCTTTAATCATAAAATTCGAATTCAAGCTTGAAAGAGAATCATATTGAAAGTGTCCTAAATAATAGGCTCAACCTAAATTTAATTGGGGCTTTAATTCGGACTAAATAATTTTGGATGTCATTTTTAGAAACTGTAATTTCGTCGTGTTTTAGTAGTGTTTAGGGCGATTTTGATATAATAATTTGTTTATTAATTAGATGGAGTTTAATTAGTAATGGATTGGTAGTGAGTTGTTTATAAATGATATTAATAAATTAAATCATATCTAATTATCGAGCTCCAACTATTTTAAAAAAATTAAATAGTTTAAATATGAAACAGTTAAATAAGTGATCAATTTTGAATACAAAGGTGGATGTCAACGGTATTTTGGAGCCAATGGGTGGGTGAAAAGGGCATTTTGGAGCCAATAGGTTAATGAAGGATAATTGTATACCATTTTCAATACTTCAAGGATATTTTAGGCCCTTTTCCGTATAATGTATATATTGTTGGGATAGATACTTAAATTGCCTTATGTGTAGCAGTGGGTAGCTCCATGTTGAATTCTGAATAAAAGTAGACGTAATGATATCGTAATGACTAATGGAAAAATATCAAAATAATTGGATTTGATAGAGTTTATACGATAATTTTTATTATTATGTTGAGTTTCTTTGTGAAGAATAAAGAAAGAGGATTGACTGGTGAGCCAAATTTTAATTTGTATATCTTAGTTGCATCTTGGACATGGGAAGTAGAAATATGGTGGCTAATGGAGTTCATAATGGATTAATGATTGATCAATTATTACAAGTCATAGGTTGTATAGATTGCATAAAATTGCTATAAAAAAGAAGGTCGTGGATACTATTGGACATGCAAATTCAGTAGCTCGTTATGTTCTAGTGTTAACATATTAAGATAGGCAATTATATATTAGGTGTATTATATAATTCGGATACCATTAAAGTTAGACTAATTGGAGGAAGTGAAACTTACCTTTAGGCTTTAACTTTGAGAATTGATTATAGAATTGGGTGAATTTTTGGGTCAAGGCTAGACATATTGTAATATGAATG